CTAAACCCTGTGGTTGCTCGCGTCAAAAGCAAGGAGGTCCAGTCAAGATATGGACTGACTGACTGATACAGAAAAAATTTTGAACGTATAGGTAGACCAGCGATAAATGGACTTAGATGATGCAAAAACGAATTGCTTCTATCACTGTCGATGACGGCATCAGATCGCTTGGAAACTCGTCTAACCCTTATAGCCAGTGGAGCCAGCCTAACCAGTAATAATGAGAGCTATTAGAAGAAGGACTGTTCAATTAATGTATAATGCTATATAATGCTACATTGTAAGGAATTAGTGAAAGTTTTAAATACTTATCTCTTGAAGAGAATGTTTGTCGTATGTCGGAATTCAAAAAAAACTTGAAGATAGAATGGTCCGAATTTCAAATTTATCGGTTTTTTTGCGAGTTTCGGTTGGATTCCGTTTGATTTTTTCTGAATTGCGTTAATATGCCGAATTATTTAGGCTTTTTGTTCATAAAGTTCGGCAAATTATTTTTAAAAAAATAAATAAATGATTAGCACTAACAGCTAACAGTTTCAGCGGCGGCTTGGAAATTTTGCGGGAAGGAGTCACTCGGCTGTAGAAATGTGCGGGCGGGCCGCCGCCACCATCGAGTTTGTTAAATAAAAGACAGAGCTGACGTCATCAACTCTCAATACGCTCTCAATCTAAAGCCCTTTAAACTGCTTGAAATCAAGCAACAAGATTAGACAGATTAACAAATTGGACGAGCTGCGTTGTTATTCCTGGATTTTCAGCACTCACACACATTCACACTCATTCACACTCGAAATTCGTAAGTAGACAATCCATATTGGCAGTGCGAATAGGTTATTCTTGTGTCGTTGATGTTTTTCTAAGAATTGCTTGAATGGATTTTTGTATTTGGATTGGAAACGTTCAGAAGTGTTCCCTGGGAGCTGTCGCTGGCGTTCTGCTCCTTGCGAGAGCAATCATTTTTCGAAAGCCTCGCATACTCACACTGCCTACTCATTTATATTTCTATTGCCAAAAAAGATGAGCGAAATTCTATTGTCCGATGAGTCGGCCAAGCGAGCCCACCGGAAATGGTGAGAATTGTTAGAAAAAAAGCAAGTTGAAAAAACTACGTCTAAAACGCGTTTGTGGCATCATTCTTTCTTCCTGTATTTTAAATTTATTCTTAATTATTTGATTTTTAATGTGGTCTGACGCCATTTATTGACATCGTATGCTTTTAAAAAATCACGTTTATATGTAAAACTGAGATTTAGTGTTTTGGTTCTTTGGAACAAATGATTGGTAGTGGCAAGACGGCGCGTTTTCGTTGAATATCACCATTTATCATATTTTTGTCATCTTCGGTAATATTCTTTTTTGCTCTTTTGAAACTTTAACAGTTTCTTAATTTTAAATGCATAATACCAAACTCAAATTATAAATTACTGTTGATCGGTTTAATTCTTTCTTTTTTTTCTCGCTCTTTGGTTTAAATTATTAAATTATTGTTAAAAATTTATTATTGTATGGAAATGTAGATAAAAAAAAAGAGAGCAAGCAAAAAAGGAACAAATAGAAAAAGAATATCATTGTTCATTTAATATTTTAGATTTAAATGGTTTAGCCCGGCCCAGCGAGATAAAATTCTCGCAGTTATTGGTGATGAAGTTGGATAGTTGTTGGATTTCTTTTAGGTGCATCAGTGAATGCAAGCTTATCAATCCTTATTTTTTTTTTGATTGGATCGGCCTGGTTCTTTCTTTTCTTATTTTTTTGGTTTCTTTATTTATTTATTTGGCTTTACTTACTTAGAAAAAATCCAAGCAGTGCAGTGCAGCAAAGCGTGCTAAATCATGTGTTTAGAAACATTGTAATACAAAAAGGAAACAAAAAAACGCAATAAAAAATACGAAAATGTTATCTACGCTAATAGAAATAAAGCGGTTAAATTATATTTAATTATAATGAATGAATAATGAATAAAATGTGCATTAAAACAAAGTTTATTTTGAAATTAATCGGTTTCTGAAACCTGTCTTAAATCTTTAGGCAGCAATCAATTCGAGCAACTTGCAAATGAAAATATTATGATTCATTAACTTAATGAAGAGTAATTTTGACGCACTGTTTCGAGTTAGGAATAGAATAGAATTAGACTAGTTTATTTCTATATTCAAATATTGGGTTTCATCTTTTATGCTTTTCACTGCTAGTTGCTTGACATAAAATGGTGATTCAAGAGACTTCACACTTGGGTAATTGAACCATTACTAACAAATAACATATAATATATACACTACATAACATAATACTACATAAAGCTAGGCAAAGCTGTTGCAACCATCAATAGCTTGGTAGATATAAGATGATGCAGTAAGTGCATCCTAATAGCGAAAAGGGTGCGAAGGGAGACGGTAAATGGCGATGCATGCAACATCCTCATTTCCTTGTCAGTTTCTTTCCCTCCCTTTTCTCTTCTCTTTCCCTCGCTCTCACCTTCCTACTTTTCTCCACGATTCCCAAGTGATCCGCAGTGGTAGCTCATAGAGTTTGTGTAGAATTTGGGATGGGCAAAGGCAATGGTTTTTTGTCATTATTTTGTCGTCCTTTTTTTCAAGAAGTAAAAGTTGAGGTAGAAGTCGTTCCTAATATACCTATTTTTAATTAGATGCTTTACATTTCTGCTTATATACTTTCGGCTATAGTTTGCAACTTTCGAGTTCTTAAAACGAAAGAAGACAGAGTCAGAGGTCGGCACTGAAATCATCATATACTTCAAAATCTAGGCCTTTTACGACTTATTTTGCGGCCACGAGTGGTTCATAGCAATTTTTATCTGTATATTTATTTTTTATTTGTTTATTCTTTTTTGTAGTGATACCATAACTTGTGATTAGGTTTGTTTATCCAAATTTGAGGTTGCGAATGAAACATAGAATTGTTATTATGCTGCGACAATACGCCAATACGCCAACGAACGAGAATATAACGAGAAATTAATCTGAATAGAAATTAAATAAATTTTTCATAGTATATATATTTCGATAAGTGAGTAGATTTATAAAAATATGTAAAAAATTTCTAAATAGTAAATTTTTCATTCAATTTTTCATTTTTATTACTGATTTTTTTTATTTGTTAGCTTACTGTAGTAATACTGTGATAATCAAAATCTAAATTTTCATCAACAGCTTTAACAAAATTTGCTTTATGGTCTACATGCCTTAGGGAATTATTATCAACATAAGTTATAGGTTATAGCATCGGTGCGTAGAGTTTTTTAAAATTGGTGATGTTTTGTTTTCTCTTCTGGTAGATCTTTTTAATATGTTTATTAATGTATTTCTGTCATTCTTGACACCAGTGAACTCTACGGGTTTTCATTTGCGTATGTATTAATGTTGCATCCACCTCCAAACATTGATCAGAATTAAAAAAACTTCGGTAATAATAATAATACGCATAACAACAAAGAGATAGTGCAATTACTTTGACGCATCGTCAGTTTAATTGAGATAATATCAAAAAAATATTATTGGTACCAGCCTTTTGTTAAATGATCTTAATACCCATTTAATCAAATCTTTAATGTCCAGTTTTTTGTTCACAGCTAGCAGTTCCATTAAAATTAGAGGCCTAAATGGAAATAAATATATAAATACGCAAATAAATATCTTAAAAATACAGCGGGATCATTCAAAGAGATTGACTAAGAAGCAGTGGATTTTCATAGAAATTAAGTCGTTTGCTTAAAGGTAGTCCCGCATTTCGTACCTAAGACTTTTATATTTTTATTCATTTATCCATTTACTCCAATCTATTTGGGTGAATTATATCTCTTTCGTTTGTTTGAAAATAGGAGTTATACAGGATATTTCATAATTGCAGCTAATATTTAATATATTAAAAATTGAATTGAGTGATCAGGGTAGAGAGGTTGCGCATTTTTTCTCAAACTGTTTTGGGAGCATTTGGCAGAGTGGAGATTTCAGATGTGATAAAGCATAGTAAACATGAAAAAATGCATTCAAATTAATGTTAAGGAATGCATTTGAGAAACCATTTTCACTGGAAATTTCACAGAGAAGATTAATAATTAAATTAATAATAGATTAATTAAAATTATCAGTGATTGTTGTATCATCTTGTTTTAAGAAAAGTCAATCGTTATGTTCCATGAATTTCTTTCAAACGTATATTCCATCGAAATTGCCATCCGAGACCAAATTATTTGGTTGTTAAAAAAAACAGCAACAAAGAAGCGAGATTTAAATCGCAGCCATGTTTAATTCAAATGATTTTTGTGCAAAGTGAATCGGTTTTGGAAAAAATCAAATAATTATGTGAAATCTTCATTTTGTGAAATCCAGTGATGAACTTTTCACTAAATAGGCAATTTAAGCAATTTTGGAATATTTTATTTATTTTTAAGAATATTTTTTCATTTTTTATTTTTGTGTTTTATATTTCACGAGATATTTTTTTAGGACTATATGGCTAATGAATCGCGAAAATGAAAGAACTGTTTAATCATTCCGTTAATTTTAAATGCTAAACGAATTCGAAGAATTTGTTTCATAGCGTGTGAATAATTTATAAGTTAATAATTCGTATCGAATTAATTTCGATTATTTTTTTTTTTTTATATTACATTTAATAAATTATATTTACTGGCTCGAAAATTGTTTAAACACTTGATGAATTAGCATTCCATAACAAAAAATATCTGTATTTTAAATATTTTGGTAGGTTGAAAATATGACTCTGCATGCATTTTGCTCTTCGCATTTTTATTTTATTATATTAACGTTTTTCAAAGTGGGTTTGGTTCTTTTTCCGTGGAATATTCAGTAACAAAATTGGCGAATTAAAATTCACTACGAGAGTTTAAAGAATTGTCATGCTTCATTTCTTCACTTCGAATGAATGAATTAAAGTGCAATTTCCATTTTTAGATTTTCCTAAGTATATTAAGTGGAATCTTGTGGTTTGATTTCAATAATTTGACTTAAATTTAAGAAATGAAGTCGTTTGATCTATTTCGAAGTATCGGATTAGCCTCACGCCACCTTAGTGGCAGTCGGCGGAAGTTGCAAACGGTGCCGTATGTGATTGACAATGATGGGAGAGGTGAACGCATGTATGATATATATTCCCGTTTATTGAAAGATCGAATTGTTTGTGTCATGAGTCCGGTAATTCATTCTTGGTATTTGCATTGTTACAGACGGTGATTTTGAATAATGAGGCGATGCATTTATTTCTTTTAGTAAGCTGATTTATTTGCGAAATCTCAATCAACTGATAAACTTTAACGTATTACAGATAAATGATTTGGTTGCGGCATCTGTGATTGCTCAGTTGCTTTTTTTACAGAGTGAGAGCGCTAAAAGTATAATTCACATGTATATTAATAGTCCAGGTAAATGCATTTTTTAAAAATTCTTTTTTCAGTAAGGATTTCTCATTGAAATTGGAAATTCTGCGATAAATATTGTTACTGTATTGGCCATAAAATGCAAAAAAAAAAAAAGTTTTAAAGCGACTCGATTAAATAATGACTATAGGGTTGATACTGTAATCTGGAGCATTTTTGATAATTGGTGGATTGATTAGTGGGGAAAAATCAACGAGCAAATCTGGCAGTTCGTAAACGATGAATGTTTCATCAATTATTTTAAAAAAACTTTTTAATTTTTATGGTGGTTTTTGTTAATGATTTGTTCCCTTCGCAGTCGTATGCACCATATATTTCTCCAAATTTTGAGTTAAATTCATTATAAAATTAAATGATTTATAATAAAAGTTTAAGTATGATATTTAAGGAGGCAGTGTCACAGCTGGTTTAGGGATCTATGATACAATGCAATATATAACAGCACCTATTGCAACATGGTGCGTTGGTCAGGTATTTTTTTATAATATTAATATTCATCTTTGAGGCCACTGAGGTCGAATATTATTGCTCATCACTGAAGTTCAAACACTTTGAAATTCATGGTATGTCCCTTGTCTCTTGGCAGCATATCATTAAAAGTCAAGATCCGGGTGGAGCTATTTGTTTTTTTATTGACTCTTTTGCGTTATATCATCCTAGTAAGATGTTTCCAACCAGAAGCGTTGGAACTTATATATTTTTAATTATGATAATCTACCAAATCCTTTATACTTGCTTGTTAAATGCGTAATTTTAAGGCATCGAGTATGGGCAGTTTACTTTTATGTGCTGGCGAAAAGCATATGCGTTCATCATTGCCTAATGCTCGAATAATGGTCCATCAGCCAATCGCTGGTTTCGAGGTCTATTGTTAATTTCGCAAATCTTCATCTAAATCTTTTGAATCGAGTTTTTTTGAAAACAAATTGCCCAATATTTTTATAGGGTCAGGTATCAGATATACTAATTCGAGCGGAAGAAATGAGCAAATTGCGAAACCGGCTCAATGAGATTTATGCGAAACATACAGGTTGCCCACAAGAATATTGTTTATATTAATGTATATTTACGATTATATTTAAAATATTTCAATATTTTGAAATGCATTTTATCATCTTGACTTTTTCTAATAGAACACCATTATCACTCACCATTATCGGCGCCATCGTTCGCAGTAATAGAAGCCATTCCTTTTTCCATCATCTTTGTCCATTTATTACTATTCCATCTATACGTTCAAAATCTCCTGACTATTCAGTCCAGGTCTTAATTGGCTCTCCTCACTTTTGACGCCCTCCATCACAGGGCTTAGCAAGTAGCGAAATACGTTCAACTTCAAATATATCGATTTCTGTGGTGGGCGATGAAAAATATGACCCTGTTCAATGTGTGATGATACTATTAATGCAGGTAATATCTGAACGGAGATAGATGCAGTCATGTGAGATTTTATCCACGAACCCGTAAAATGCACCTCATGAGTGGTCAAAGGCAGATAATTTCTTAATCTTCCATTCTCATTGGCTATATCTCGCCATATAGCAAAATCGTACAAATCGTAGCTATATAGGCATGAAATTTGGTTTTTATAGTGATTTCGCGACGAGTCCATAAATAATAAAAATAATAATAAGGGTTTCATCAATCGTAAAAAAGCATAGCTACCATTATCCGGGTTGTAATTTCGTCTTTCGCTTGACTGTTTGGGATTGCAGTAGATCAAAATATTTAAAGTCTGGCATTTCCTCAATCGGCAATTGATAGCTGGCGCAGAATATAAGGCTAACCATGTTCTACTGCTAAATTTATTGTCCTGAATAGAAATAATCTAAGAAACAATCTCCAATTTCCAGTGACCTTCTTATTTCCAGTTGTTTTCAGTTAAAATTGGCTTTCAAGCTATTTATATTTTTATATTTTATATTTTTTAATCAATTTTTTTGTTGCTTTTGTTGAAATTTATAGAAAGGAAGATATGGAAACTATATTTTTTGCATTATTGGATTAAAATGCATATATTACACAAAACATTCTTTCAGTTAAAACTGAAGTTAGTTTAGGTCAAGATGTCATTAAAATTGCTGAGACTTTGGAACGCGACCGTTTTATGAGCCCAGAAGAAGCCAAAGAATTCGGTTTAATTGATAAAATTGAAGGTTGCTCTCCTATTAAACAAGCAATTTAATTTGCTTTTCATTAATTTACTTTTAATTTACTTCTTGTTTATTTTGATTATTTTGATGATTATTTTATTATGAAATACATGGCATGTAGCGGCACAAAGAATTATAATTAATGGAGCCTGGATTATATATAATATTCGTTTTCGTGAAAAATTTCGAATTTAATTTTACCCAATATAGAGTTATCAGAATGTTAACAAAAGGATGCAATTAATAAGAGAGTGATAATTCCCAACATAATTCTAGAATTCAACCATGTGCTTTTGGAGAGGCATTTTTGAATAAATAATTTTGTTCCGTCCATCTGATCACTGTTTCTTTCTTTTTTTCGAAAATAAAAACTTCTAGGCGTGTGCACGAGGTTCTTGAAATTGGTTATATGAAATGAAATTTTTCAAGTTTTCAGAATCACATTTAAAAAGCTTCTTGTCATTTAGTATTCATGAGATTTTTCTTCATATAAAATTTGAAAAAGGTGGATTTAAAAATGGATTTTAGCGTTTTTCGCACGGTTAGTGTAGTATAATAGAGTGTTTTTACTCATATTATAGTCTTGACTGCCTGTTTTGAGTCCCGCGTCCGACAGGCTTTAGGAAATCCCAGTGGTACTGCAAACCAATCTGTACTTTAATATATGTGTTTGGCAAAAAACACATCTTATTAACAGGCAAAAGAATGAGCCTAACGAGGACTTGTAAGTATTTATTTCTTGTATGTATTGTACTTGTATGTGTTTATTTTCTTTTCCTTCCCTTCCCTCTTTTTCTTCAATTTTACTTCTTTACCTCTTCACTTCTTTACCACTTTATCTTCAGCAGGGAGTTAACTTGTCAAATTACCAAAAATCCGGTTGGTTGTCTTACCTGTAACTTTATCCCTAAATGACTATGGATCTGATTTCCTTGATAATACTCCTAGCCCAGTATATACGATATATAATCTGGGCATAAAACGATCCCAAGGCTTGTGAATAAGATCAAGGGGATGATATTTACTACTTTCTGCACGCGCCGTGACGTATTAACCATGGTAACTTGGAACATCAGAACGCTTATGGACATTTCTAGCAAATTGATAACTGTCCACATTTTTTTTAAATATCATGTGGATGTCGCATGCTTGTATAGCAATTATTAAACCTGGCTCCGAGTAGAGGTATTGTCTTTACTAATGTGGTGTTTTGGATAACTCAAGGCGAAATGGTATAGCAATTCTCATGTCCGAAAAGGCCCACTCTGCTTTAATAAGTGAAAGTCATTAAAAGACCGTATGGCCATGACTGCTTTAAAGGAAAGTTCTGCAATATCTCAATCATCATTGTATATGCTTCAACTTTAGATGATCTTGATAAGGATAAGTTCTATGCAGAACGTCGATTACTAAAAAATCTCTACCGAAATATGACATTGTCATGACCTGAGAAGATTGGGATGCGGGCAAGCTCATGATGTCGCAACGAAGAATTTTGCAAATGTGGCACTAAAGTGTGGTGTATCCATTGATGAATGTTTTGTTCGCTTTGTCGAAGAATACATTCTTCCGGCATAAAAGACATCTATTCCTCATGGAATTCCCCAGATAACCAATATTCCAACCAGATTGATTATATTTTAGTCAGTCGCCGTTGGAAGAATTCCATAATAGATATTTGTTACTATCGCAGCGATGAAATTGGTAATCTGGATCAGACTATGTTATGGCTCGAACCAAAATTCGCATAAAATCAACTGTCAAGAAACAGTATCTCCGAAAATCTTTCATTTACCTCAAACAGAATTATTGAAGCACCTCGATGATACATATCAACTGTTTTAGAACGGCAGATGAATGTTGATCCCAGCCAAAGGAATATCTCTGAAAGTCAGCCACTTCCACACTAGAATATACTAGTAGGAAGTCTCTAGTTATCGGGAGTAACTGTCCAATTGACTGAAAAGGCTGCAAAAGCACGAGTATCAGGAGATCCTGACTATCACATAGTTCGAAGAATTACAGCGTCATTGAGTCGAGTTTGCAACTGCGAACTGCTAACGATAGGAAATAATCTTTGTTATCCATAGGCTTAGGGCCAATAAAAGATGGTTTCTCTCTCTTTAATAATAAAAGTCTCTTTAATTCTTCAAATGTTATCCATTATAAAGCAAAATGTACTCTTTGATATGGAGAAAGAAATAATACCAGATGAAACAATTCTGCTCCCAATTTCTAAGTCGGCAGGGCATACTGTGACAATTATCGAGGAACCCAGTGTACTAGACTTCTCTGGAAAATTTTTTGCTTTCCCTAAATACACTTATGGCAATACAAAACACTGTGCAATAACCAAGCTGAATTTAGGCCGTAACGCGGTTGTGCTGGCCAGATATTCACACTAGGCGTTCAAACATCGTTTAAAATATCTGCCACCGTCATGTATTTCATCAGCTTTGCAATTACCTTCGATTCAGTTGATAGAATGGCACTTTAATGGAACACGACATTGTTCCAGAGAAGATCTTTCGGCCTATAGCTACATTTTATAAGCCGTATATCGGCACAGGTATGTGTATATGAAAGACTAGAGATTCCTTCGAAGTAAGAACTGTTGTTCGTCAACTGTTGTTGTTCTGCATTATCCAACTATGCGATAGGCTGGATAATGGAATTTGTCACTCAAGAGAAATCAGTCCAGAGCATCGTATTACATATCTTGAATACGCCGATTATATAGTCCTTTTTGCTGATAGTTTTAACGAAATGCAAATAAAGCTAAATAATATGTTAATAATCAGACTGGAGGTCAATATAAATAGAACAAAATTTCGTCTTATAACGAGAAGGCTGATAAATCACCTACTTTTATCAATTCATTGCGGAAGTACCAGGCTTTAAATATCTTGGGTCCATTCTAATTCCAAATGACCAAGCGAAAAGCTAAATTACAGGTAATGCGTTTTTCCATTTGAGGAAACCTTTATGGAGTTACTGCAGATAAAACTATGAAAATGAAATTGGTCTTTATCCCTGTGATTTGATCTTGCATGACCAATGAAAGTGGAAGATAAGTGGAAGATTAAGGAGTTGCCTGCCTTTGACCACTTATGTATAAGGTATTTTAGGGGTTCGAGGATAAAATCTCTTGTACAGCGTCGCCTCCATCGGTCAGGGCACGTTCTTCGTCGCCCACCACAGATGTTGATACGCATTTCGCTACTTGCTAAGCCTTGTGATGGAGGGCTTCAAAACAGAGAAAAGCCAATCAAGAATTAGCTCTCAAATAATAAAGTTACAGTTGAAGCAGAAATTTATTTAAGCATTTGTTTTCTTTACGATTGCTTTTATGAATTTGGTTAAAGTGAGTATTTTATCTGTTTTACAGCTGAAAACACTTTCGTTATCCACATATTTTCATTGATCATTATTATAATTTCTTTGAAAAATGTTGGCTTTTTTCCAAATTGTTTTCATTTTTATTGTATCGAGAATCCTCTTTAGCCGATATTTTTCGCTTACTTCTATCTGAAAGTACAAGCAATAACAATATATGGTTTACTCCTATCTGAGCTATGCTTCGACAATCACTTGGCTACCTCGCCTTTATTTACTGTACTGTTATTTTATTTGATAAAATAAAAGTTTTTGAATTTTTATATAGTTATTTTTTATTTTATGTATAATTTTCTTATCTTTCTTATCTTTTAATTTGCAGAATTGAAGGAATCAACAAATTGATTCAAACTATCAGAAAATTTTAGCAGAAATACAAGATTCAATTTTTCTCCCAATTAATGCAATTGCAAGTGCAAAAGTGTAGTTAAGAAAAATTAGATCTCATATATAAAAAATTAAAAATAAAAAAAAAACAAAAACAAAATAAAATAAAAATAAAGAAATAAAAGAAAATGATCAGCTCTATTCATTCTGTCGTGCTCCGACGAGATTCTCCAGCCAAGCACAACCCGCATTGGGTGAAAATGTTTAGAGACTTATAGAGACTGATTTTCCTGTAATTTCACCAGTCCACAAGTCATTTTGCCGTTTGAGAAAATAAACCGATTATGTTTGCCATACCCAAAATAAAGAAACGGTTTATTTCAGTAAGGAAAATCCCTCAACCATATTTTAAAGATTTTTGTATGCGAGTGACGTCTTCCGCCATATGAACTCGCATCTGAATTTTTTTTGGAGTTACACTGTTGCATTTTTATTCGGAAATGATGCCAACAATAAAGAATTCAGAAATAAAATTACGATACACCACTACTGAAATCTGAAATAGCGATCATTTTTATTTAATAAATAACCTAACTACAGAAAATGAATTATTCGAAATCATCAATTTAAACCTGCTTAATCGTTATGTGCATATCGATAGATATCACGATTGAAGCACCCATATTAATGCCACCATCACATCCTCCTCGATATCCAGGAGCAGAAAATAAAGTCATTAAACAACCATCCGAGAAAAGAGCATAACCATGTAATGGAGCCTAAAAGAACCATAAATTCATATGGCTTTATCAAAAAATTAGTAAGGAAATCCATTGAACTGAACTTGATGTCCACGAATAATCATATCGATGCCCAATTTCCTGCATGTTTCCTGTACAGTATTCGATGCAAATAACTGTCCTATGCCTCTATCTGGCTCTCGTTCATAATTTATACGAAATCCTTTGCTATAAGGATTGGTGTCTGGATCTGACCAAACTAAATCGCAGGCTAATGTTCCCACTTCGAAATTTTCTAATGGTCGTTTGATATCACGAATAGCCTTAAAAATAATCGAATTAACTTTATAAATGCAAGTGCATATGTATTACTCCTTTCTCACTATCTGTGCGTGAAAAGGATCATCCTTAACCTTGCGTCCTCTATCAGAGAGATAGGAGATTCTTAGTAATGCGCTCTTTTGGATAGAGATCTCTGATGTTGTTCCTGGAATCTGTTTGAGCCCTTTTCTTGATTTGGAGGAGAGGGTTACCCCTAAGGTAAAAGATGGATTGGAAATTAAAACATTGGCAATCAGAAGCAGGATAGGAGTATGGTCGTGGTATTTAAAGCGAGCAGCTGATATGGAATATAATAACAATGGTTCGGTTCGAATCACAGCCAAACTTTTTTTTCTGCTTTTTCGCTTGTGTAGTTGGGCATCTGCTGAAAGCTGGCGTTACCTCAAATATGAAAGTGTGCACACTGCAGTCATACAGCCTCAGAGTTCATCCAGATTAATAAGGTCTGCGTCCAGTATTGAGGAACTAAGACCATATGATAATATGTGGGCTACTGGAACAAAGACGAGGCGAGGCTAGTTTGGAATGAAGGAATGCTTGATAGTATACCTAATAAAAGAAAATATAGCTGATATGAGGCAAAAAATCATAAACAAACTGGAATATAGAATCAAAACACAATGCAAGGAATTAACCAGGTGATAATGAAAGATCTGAAGATTAAAAAAATGAAAGATCTGAAGATTAAGATTATCTGAATAGGATCCAGATAATGGGAAAATACAAGAATTACACTCCATCAGAAGTCCTCAAGATTGCTAAATAAAGGCTCCAGCCACTAGGCTAAGGAGATATATTAGAGAAGCGGAGGCTAAAAAGATAAATTACCTGTTCTCCAAGGAACTATCCAAGGTGTACTTTGCTGTAACAATACGCAAATAGCAAAAACTATTCAATATTATAATAATACATGATAGAAAAAGAAGATTCATAACACCAAAAGAGTGCTGTCCCAGAGCAGGAACCAGTTACCATCACAGCTGCTGACGAAAGCATGAAAATTTGGACAGAACCTGGTCCGGGCATGGCCTACTCCTACTGGCTAAAATAGCTAATAGCGGTCATGAGCAACATAGATGAAATGAACATGATTCAACTGCTTCTGTGCCTACTTTCTCCCAGATTGGTTAACACAAGGAATAACGGTAAGGGAACAATATTGTAGAACTACTGACCAGTAATCTCCCAATAAATGTCAGGCATCATAGCCATTAAATATCATTACCATATGAGCCAGTGCATGAGTACAGTTCAAAAAGGCATTTGGAATAACACCAGAGGCTCCAGGCATTAACTTCCTAAGAAAGTCGCCTAAGATTCAGAATTCAGACAAATGAATCTGTGTACAATTTGGATTGCCTGTAGGAAAGTCTACAACTCAATGTCCCACACAAACTTTGATCTATGAACGTCTGGCTCTATACGAACTCAATAGAATCCTAAAGACGTTCATTAAGAGCTCAGTGGAAAACGACACTATAATTCAAAACTTGCATAAGAGCTATCAAATGCGGCATATATCAAGGCGTGATACCCTACTGCTTTACATAGGTCTAAATCCTCAGTCAATCCTCAGTCAGATAATCATGAAGAGTGAATATAGATAAAATCAAGTTCAAAAGGATACCATCAGCCATCTATCTCTACATGGATAAAATTAAGTTATATGCTAAAAAACGAAACGATACACTGATTTACTCATTCATCTAACGCGAATCTACAGTGAGGACATTTGGATATCATTCGGAGCCGTATGATAATGAAGAAGGAAAATAGTAATCATTGATGGGTGGACCTGCTTCAGCTTTCACCATTACTGGTTAGGCTGGCTCTAACGGCTACAAGCGTAAGACGACGGCGCGGTCTGATGCCATGGTCGACAGTAATGGAAGCCATTCCTTTTTCCATCGTCTAAGTCCATATATTGCTGGTCCATCTATACGTTCAAAATCTTTTCCGTATCAAGGGTGGATCTGTTACCAAGATACAAAGCGGACTAGCTTGCTATAATAAATAGCTTAGTGTCGCACAGACATATGGTAATCGCGATGAGGAGTGAAGAAAGATTACAACGTCCAAGTATCACTAAAAAATAAGGCAAATCCTAAGGAGTCAACTTAATAGAAAAAACAAAATTTATGCTGTAAACATATAAGTCCTACCAATCAACAAATACAGCTGGTACAGTGAGATAGACAAAGGAAGACATGGATGCTGCTAGTTTGAATACTACTCTGAAGATCCTACATGTACGGAAATTTCCACTCCAGTTTTAACACCCATAGAATATATACCAGGCGGAAAGAAGACGGATGTGGCTTGGTTAGTGTGGAAGCCACCATCTTGAACGAAATCTGAAACTTTCAGGAATACTTCAGAAAGATGGCAGCAAAGTGAGCAGCAAGTTATTGCGCGAAACCCTTAATCAGGCTTCTAGTAGAGGTTGAGAATGACCTTTATTATCCATCTGAGAGGCAAAAGTGTAGTATGGTTTGAAAATTAAAATATTGAAAAAAGGCAAGATTGTCGAGTAGCATATCACTTTGAGACAAGTCATTATATAATATGGCCAGCCATTAAAAGCTAAATCCGAGTAATATTTGGGACTCATCGCCTCGTAAGCCGATAGAATCAGCGAATTATATGTAGTGAATGCTGTTGGAAGAGACTAAAAAATAAAAAAAAGATTAAAAACCTGCAATGAAGTTAAATGAGAACTTATTCCACCATGCATTCCAAGAATTCGTTTTCCAATTAATACGGCTAAAGGCATATTGCTGAACAATTTTTTAAAGCATTCATACATCGTCAGTCCCTCTATAAACAAAAGCGTTAATGCAATTTTACATTTAAATAAGTGGTGAGCGCTTATCATTTCTGGTTAGGCTTGTTACACTAGCCAATATTAAAAAAAATATTTATCACGCCGCAAAAATTAAAAAGCAATAAAATTAAAAAGGCTAGCACCATTCGAGTTTAAATCACAAGTTACTTCTGCCTGAGGTGCGGTCTGAACCCTGATATTCAAGACGATAATCTGAACAAATCTGCTATCCTATCTTCTATTCGAAATTTTTTGTTATTTTTTTATTTACAGTGAACGGAAAATGAATGGTAATGTAGAAAAAACATCAAAATTAAGAAATTGAGATTAAGAAATTGAGAAATGTTCTCATTGAATGAGAAATTAAATTGTTATCTTTTTATGACATAAAATGATATATTTCTTATCAAACCATAGGTTGTTTGGCTTGGTGGAAAACGAGTGGAAACCTCATCATGGAATGAATATACTCGATTTAATGATTCCTCTTCGTGATTTCCGCGACAAATAAATACTCGATCAGGAAATTGCAACTTAAAATAAGTCATTTCGAACTATTTACTAAGTTCAAAAAAATATAGCAAATTCATTATACCTTTAAAGCAGAAAGCAGTGCAACAACTTCGATTCCGTGTGATCCTCTATCAACAAAATCGCCCAAAAAAATACAACGAGTCACATTTGGCCAACCATTCAAATTAAACCATCGATGTAGATCACTATACTGACCATGAATATCGCCGTAAACTGCACAAGGAACAGCCACCTTATAAAAAAATAAGATTTTAAAGTTTAAACTTCATTGCAATTGAAATTATAATACAGTAAAGATGTGAAATATAAGTCTAGAAAAAACAAGCCTTGAGCCTTGGCCCAATTATTCTTTAATTACAGGATAATTAGTTAAAAACGCAAATAATGTCGTTAATGATCGCAAAGGGAAAGGATGGGCATTATGCCAATATGTCAATAAAAACCAGTTGATGAGAGAGTAACTCCTTCAAGTCTAAAAAAAGCTTCTAAAATCATTGTTGATGTTGAGGCTTGGGAAGGACGGTTGGATGGAGAAGATTGGAAGGGAGGGATTTAACGGATAAAGACCGGTTGAATATTTGTGATTTGTGATAACAGTTGTTAAGATTGAACTATAACATAATAATTTGAATAAAAATACTAAGGTTTAAGTTTGATGTGTTATCTGCTGTTAATAAATATTTGTTAGTGCCTTATGGGCAGAACCAGCAAGAAGTGCAGTAGCCGCAGATCAAAGAAATAGTGAAAACCAACTGAATTTTTTTCCGTTCATTTAAAGTATAGCTCTAACTATGAACTTATAAATTTAGCAAAAGTAACCAATCACCAATAAAAACGTATCTCCAAAATTTTCTTGTCTCTTATGAATCCACTATTATTTTATCATACAACAAATTAATAAGAATGTTCTGCGTGGTATCAACCCTCTCTCATCTTACTTAGATTAGCAATTCAAGTATCAAAGCCTGGCGTTCGAAATTCCAGGTCATGACTGGCCCTTCTTGTTTTTATTCATTTTTTATTCATAGGATTTAGAAAATGGCGATAACTTCTATGGTGGATGACGAAAAATATGTTCGATTCAAGTGATTCTTTATTCTTACGCTTATGGTATTCGTTAAAAATGGATGCAATCAAGTGACTGTGCATTTGGTGGTATTTTATATAAGAATGGCCAAAGGCTGATTGGCCTCCTAATATCTTTTATTCTCATTGGCCAAAATTTTGCAGCCGCATAGCAGTACATAATAGAACTGTGTGTAAAATGGCCAGATAATTGAACTTTCGTTTTGAGACTCATTTTGCAGTGATTCCAGAGAAGTTTCGTCCGAAGAATACATCTCTAGCCATCCAGTATTGAAATTTCTGGCTATTAGATGAGAATAGGTCTCAAATTTTTAAAGTTTGAACCATAAAGTTTGAATTTATAGAAACTGCAGTCTTTTAGCTTCTGGTATTAGATAAAAAGAATTTCGTCATGTTCATTGCAGTTATCTACACCGACTTAGTATTATTCATTTTAACTGTCAGTTTTAATAAAATGCTTTAATACGTCTGATCATCTCCTTCGGAACTTCATTTTGAACCTTATTTTGCTTGACTCAGAATATCATTCCATAACTAAACCAAAAACAACGAGTCGATAAAATACATAATAGTAGATGGCCGATACTTAAAGTGATGTTCCAATACTCTCTTCTCAGCATAAAAACTTGCTTAACATAACCACTGTACTAGATAAGTTTTGATTAGGTCATATTCTGTTTTTTATTCTGTTCATGTTTTTCTGTTTTTGCTTTTATCCACGAGTCTACTCAGCAGAAAGGAAATAAAAATCGTCTAAGAATTATTCATTAAGATAACTCCTTGTTATTACGTTCTACTATTTTTCTTAGGAATCAGAAATGTTCTTGTCGCACACGCTTCTATTATCCCAGTGAAAACAACCTTTGCAGATGTGTTGTGAATGACGCTGGGCAGCATTTGAATCATTTGAAGAATTCATTCTCAAATGTTCTTTTCTGAAGCTTTATTGGCCTAAAGCTTGTGAATTACAGAGATTTCTCGAGCTCGGTTCGCAACTGTAACCATACGGCACTAACTGTTTTTCAATTGTGACCGAGATATTGGATGGCAGTGGTTTAGATTCTCTCTTTCTTCATCGGAAGAGATGATCTTTATTGGTCATAATGAGGCTTCCATGTTCATCACGAATCATTTCATACTCGAGCTCTGAAGGTTGAAAATAGGAGATTTTAGGAGCGGTTGTGCGTTTCAAATCGTGGTTCAAATCAAATCCAAAGATGACATGATCTGATAAAAAAAAATGCATTTGTAGCTGGGGTTATCTGGGCTTTACTTTCGTCTTTAGCCACTTGGTACAAGACTGGATCCAAGATATTTAAAATATGCCAGTTTCTCAGCTCTAGTGAATTAATAAAAATAAAAATAGATATTTTATCAACATCTCGTATATAATGAAAAAATTTGGATCTTATTTATGTTGATCTTGAATCCAATTATTGCAGTTGTACACTGCCTAGCATTTGTTCATAATTTTCATAATTTCTTCATAATTTTCAGCAAAAAGGACTTCATTACCGTTTTAAGGTTTATGATACTATGCTAGGAACTAACCATACATTTCGAGTGCAAGTGTTGTCCATAATCCAAGTTATCACATATGAATATTCTAAGAGATGCAATCCTGGTATATGTTCTAATTCTTAGTTGGAAAGGATCTATCAGTCCCCATATAAATAGGCTTATGTCGCCGATGTGATGTCGAATGATCTTTTCTGGAGCATCTTCATAGTATCGCTCAATTGAATCGAAGGCAGCGACAAAGTTAATATAATGTTTAATAAAAAAAGATAGATCGATATTTCCCAACAGTCTCCTTTGCATGAATATTTGATCAGGTCATCCGAATTATGGCATGATTTAGTTTGGTTAAAGCGCATCTTACTGTATGCCACAATCATCAATAGTTTATGAATAAGAAAAGCGATGAAAATTATAAAAAATAAAATATAACTATAGGATGCTCACTTCCAGAAGCGACTGATCTGCAAGAAGAAGATTAGCAGCGCTTTTTAATAAATCTGCTAGTTCCTCGAACTCGAAAGAGAATCGCTTTGGACCATTAACGATCAATCTTGCCAATAATGCCTGGTGATTTTTAGAATCCGCTGCCCCAAACAAAGTTCCACTTGCTAAAATATAGAACAAAAACAATTAAATCGCTTCGAATAAACGATTCTTTTCTAGAAAATTGGCCAAGAAGCAGTCATTTGGGAATGGAAGTAGATTTCTGTGTCAGTGTCGGAGGTAGATGCTTTTAGATGATAATCTAAACAACAATCACTCGTCTGTATTTCATCTTACCCATCCACGTATTTTATCCACAGTTTTGCAATTCATTAACAAACTTAGAACTTTAAATCTAAACTATCAGCTATATGTTTTATTCTTCATTGTATTAATATTATTAAAAGAGTTCTTTTTAAATGAGAAAAAATCTTAAAATTCTCAAGTGCTTGTTATAATATATATTAAGAAAATCATAAAGTAAAAAACTTACAACTAGTACTTTCCTCTTGAAAAGAATGTCCTTCGCCGATAGTGATATCGTCTGAAGTAGCAAAAGTGATAACTTTCTTTATTTTCGGTGGGTACTTTGTTATACTCAGAGATTTAATTTTTGAGCTGGATTTCATCGATCTAAATTTGATTCAAATTTATTTGACTAAACTTCTAACAGAATTAAAATTCTGTTATTATATTATTTGGCTGTACAGCCGAATGGTTCTTGTTTATCGTCATTGACAATCAGAATTTCGAATCCTACCTCCTATAGTTAATCCGCCATTAAAGAATCCTGGTGGTGCTAGCAATCCGTTTATATTTCTATCGCTAAGTAAAACTTTTCAGGAAAAATTCCTTGTCATATTAACAGCTAGTGGAGCTATTATCCTTATTAAAAGTGGTGCATTCTAAACTAAAATTTTTTTGTTGTACCTAGCTAAGATCCGGCAAAATTCAGTCTTAAATTCTCTTGCATTTATTTATTAATTTCTTGAAATGTTTCCGAAATTCTTATAAAATTTAATATAAAAAAGAAAAAAGCGAGAATGATTATCGCATTATAGACTTACAGTAGTAATTTATGTTGCGCTTCGGGTGTTAGCGTAGAAGGTACCTTAATATCTTTTCTATCTAAGTGTAACACACTTTTCATTTCTTTGGTTCCTGGTGAACATACTATTCCTTGGCTATTATCATTGCTCTCTTCACATAAACTGATATTTGCATTTAATCTCCAATTCATAATTATAAATTTTTGATAAAAATAAATTTAAAACGCGAAAGCGGTTCCAAAAATACTACCTATCTTCATTATATCGTACTTCATTCCTGAATAGCCTATAATTCATTAAACCAATGACAATAGCTAAATTTATCGAAGCAAAGAAAGCAATTCCAAATATAACTCCAGTTAATGCTATCCAACTAATCGATGATGACCTATTTGCTTTAATTTGATCTTCTTGATTTCTGTTCTCATTTCTTGTTTCCAACTGTGATAATTTCACTGAAATGGGATTTCCTGAATACAGTGGGAAATATCAATTAAAATTTATAAACATAACAATGCTAATAAAATGCCATTAAGATGTTTGATTAATCAAAATTCCTATTATACCCAAGAATGGCAAAAATTTAAATAATATATTTTTTGGGTGCAAAATTTTCCAAAGAATGGTATATAAAATTATTGAAAATTTTTAATTTTTCTGATTTCTAGTTTATCAGCTGCATTGTTTATATTAAGGATCTTGTCAGCTCACTTGCGATGGTTAGGTCATGTTCTTCGCCACAGATCACAGGAAATGGCATATATCTTGTTATCCGCTAAGCCCTGAGACGACTGACGTTAAACAAAGAGGATCAAGACTTAAGTGAAATGATCAGAAGAAATTTTGGACGAATAAACTTGATGATGAAAGAGAAAAAAATTTTTGATACTTTAAGATATATTCTTCTTTTCCTTCTTTATTCTTTATTTAGAGGAAGAAGATATTCTACTTATTCTACTTCTAACAGCTCTCATTATTGCTGGATGGGCGTCCGGCTCCATTGACTATAAAACTTTTCCAAGCCGCTTGATTTAATGCCAGTAACGGAAGTTTTTCTTTTTTCTCTCTACTCCTTATTTATCATATAATTATCATATATCGCTGGTCCTCTTACACTTTCAAAATTTTCCCTGATTGTCAATCCAGGTCTTGATTGGCCTACTTCACTTTTGAACCCATCACACGATTTAACAAGTAACGAAATATGTGTCAACTCCTATGGTGGACGTGCCAATAGAGGCGTCGTATGATGGTATAACGTTAATGCAGGTGGTATTTGAACGAAGGTGGAAGAAATTGAATGAGATTATATCTGCTCGACGAGCGCGTAAGACGTGTATCTTAGACATTAGTGGTCAAAGGAAGACTTTTTAATAACCATTCTCCATTCTCATTGGCCATGTCTTAAAGCCATATCGAGTGAACTGCAACTACATAAACGCAGACTTCCTTGATTTTTTCCTAATGTATATTAGGTCATGTATATTAATGTTTTATGGTGATTTCGCGACGAAAGCCACAGAAGCTTCGCCAACCAGAAGAATGCATTTCTAGCTACATTATCCTAATTACAATTTCATCTTTTGTCTGCCTAATCGGGATTAGGGTGGATCTAAGAAAATTAAAACTGGGCACTTCCTCAACCAATAATGAATTGATAAAAATAGGTATTTTATCAGCTTGTAAGATGGAAAAACTTTCTTTTATTTACTCTCTGTCACTCTGAGTCCTATTCTGGCTGCAGTTGTTGGCTCTTTATTTAGAGTTATTTGCATTTCGTCATTATCAGCAAAAACAACATCATCAGCGTATTCAAGATCTATGAGATGCTGCTCTGATTTGTATACCTTTCCAGTGCCGACAAGCGATGTCCATTATCCAGTCTATCGTATAGTTGAATACTGTAGGGGAAAGGATGCAACTTTGACAGACACAATATTTTATAAGAGTTAGTTCCCCATATGCAAAGACCTGTGCCGATTTACGCTAATAAAATGTCTTTATGAGGCGAATAATCTTCTCTAGAACATCATCACTCCATCACGGGAGAAGCGCTGTTTTATCAATTGAATCGAAGCTGCAAAATCGATGAAATATCTGATTTGTCCAAGTGGGTTACCGATATTTGAAGCGATGTTCCAACACTCTTCTTAACATGAATGTCTGGTCAGCATAAATGCGCTAAATCCAGCTTAGAGTATATACTGCTCCCTTGTACTGCCGTAAGTCTATTCAGCAGAAGGGAAACAAAAATTTTCCCGAAGATGTCTAGTGGACTGATCCATCGATAATTGTTACAGTATATCCTGTCGCCTTTTTAGGAATTGGGAGGAAAATTGCTTTTCTCCAGTCATCTGGTATTATTTCTTTTTTCCATACCAGGGAGTGTATTTGTTGAAGTTATATTATGATGGATGAAAAACAGCATTTGAAATTCAGCCCAGAGACCACCTCAGGGAGTTTTATTGGCCTTAAGCTTACGGATAAAGAAGATTATTTCTACTTCTGTCGGCGATTCGCAGTTGCAAACGGTGACTCGACAAGAGAATAAGCTATATAAGGGACACGAGATGGAGCACCTGGTTCCTTTGGCCTCAAAGAGTTCCCTCCATCTTACCAGGCTTAGTACTCATAATAGGTCATTGCTATCCTGTACCATTTCACTGGTCATTCCTCGAATTATATTGGTTATCACGGTCTTCTATAAAACAAAGTTCAAGCATACACACTCTTTTTAACATGAATGATATAGCGAAATTTTTCTTTCCCTTAAAAACAGGCATAAGCCCACAACACTATACTGGTTTCCATTCAGTCAAAGCGGAGTGGGTTTTTTCACATATAATAACTATGTTACGCTATTTCACCTCCGTGTTATCTCGAGACACCGCAGTGGTAAAGCCAGTGTCTTCGAGAAGAAGCCGGATAATTGCTCGAGATCCCAAGTGAGGCGAAACCGAAAGGCATTATATTTGAAAAGAGTGTTAGAAATGGCATTGGATCGGTGGGCTTATAAATCTGCAATGGTACGAACTATTCAGTGAAAAAGAGAGTACTCATCATATTGTACCTTCATTAATAAAAATTCCATTGCAATTCGACTCATTACAACAACAAAGTCGATTTTCCTGTAAAATTTCGTCATTTTGTATTGAATTCTGAGGGCAGTAGTTATAGAAATTTTTATTACATGACGAATCGTTTATATTGCCAGTCTGAAATGTTTGATCAGTGTGAAATAATTTGTTTTCCTTTTTTTTATTTGTTTTCGATTATTTTTTATTATAGATTTATCATTATAAAAAGCTTATGATTTTTAAAATATACTTTTTGGACTAATTTTCTTTATAAACTTTCTTATTTTTTTTTCTTATAAACTTTCTTTAAAAGACGTTCTTTAAAAAGGTAATTCCCGAATTTTTATTAATATGTTGAAGGATTTTGCTGGCTTTAGCGATTATTAAAATCACAGCCCCTTTGCCAAAATATCATTTGGAGATAAAAAATATAAATGAGTTCTTAGCAACACTCAAGTTTCATTCATAGCGACAGATTTAACATCATAAAGCTGATAAAGCTGATGGCAGTTTGATTTTCGTCAAATCAATCTATCTTTCTGCTTCTCTCATTCACGAATTACTAAATTAACAATGTTTATTGTTACAAGTTATCAGAAAAACTGTTATGGAAAATTCGATTTAAAAAACAAAAAAATTTCCCAGAAAAACTCACTTTATTATCACTGCAACCATATTGAATTGTATTACCTTCAATGGTCTTCAAGGTATAGCAGAAGGACTGATAGTTTTCGCACCGTTCTATGCGATGAGAAAAATTTGAACCTTTTAGACATTTCAAAGACGCAATTATTGTCCAATTATTAGTTATACTATATGTCCTACAATAAAAAATAATTTGTGCAGTATTATTGTAGCCCATTACTTCTGTTCAAGCCAGTTCTATTAGCACAATATTACTTTAGCATGGAAATGTACAACAATTCATTAAATTTAAAGATGAAAAAAATTTGTAAAGCGTTTGGCGAACTTCAGAGAAAAATGTCATCTTATATAATTTGTCATTGATATACTCTTAAATCTTGATAGATAGTTTAGATGAGTCCAATAAACATTCTTAATGGAACTAAATCTTGCCATTAAATAGTGAAATTCGGATAGTGCCAGACAATAATTCCACTTTTTGATACCCAAATGATCCTCTAGCAAAAAAATGAAGTCTCCTTTATTTTGCAATATAATTGTCAACTAGCTGAAGCATTTAGCAAATTTTTACAATTTATATTTGAGCGGAAAAATTTTTAATTGCAAGAATATCTCCAAAAATTATCTTCTCATAGCTTTCTTTATGTGAAATTTCGAAAAAATTGAATCCCATTCATATATTTCACAATATAATTTGAGAAATCCAACCATTTCATTCCAAAAATCATAAACATTGACAAATTTTTGAAAAACAACCACATTTCTTGAAAGGCAAAATTAAAATGCAATTTTCGCTATCAAAATAGCAGATTATTCATATTCTTCAAATCAAAGAGTAGGAAAGTTGCAAATAAAAAATCAACGTATTCCGAAAATTCCCAATCGCACTTACCAGGCTTAGCAGAATGGGCAATAACCATCAATTTTTGAAATTAGAGAATCATTGTTGTCTGTAAGTAGAATATCACTCGAATAATGAAAAATATAGCAGAATTGCTCGAGCCATCATTGATTAGGCTGGTTCCACTAGTTAGGAGGAACAAGGCGCCTTCAAGGCAGTCAGTCCGCGCCTGAGATTAAAAGCCACTCCTTTTTCTACCGTCTGAGCTCATATATCGCTGCGCTATCAATATGTTCGATTCTAACTATATGCAGGCCACGATTGATCCTTTTGATTACAGTCATCATCGAAGAGTTTAGAAAGCAAAGAAGAATACGAGTATTGCTATGATGTATTACGAAAAACATATCCTAGGCTGCGCTTTAAAATTACGAATGCAAATGGTGTTTCAGAGAAAATGGAAGCAATTATCGAGATTTTATCCGTTCAGCAAGCAAATGCATCTTAATGCTTTATAGACACAAGCGATCAAAGTTACAGGTTTCTTAACATCTATTCTCATTGGTCGTTCCGCAGCTATATAATGGAATGATGTGCATAGATGTGAATTTTCGCTAATTTCGTCGCGATTCCATAGAGATTTCGCGAGACGAAAGACGAAAACAAGACGCTGATCGAAGACATTTAAAAGATAAAAAATCTATTCCTCAACGATTTTCGTGATAACTGATAAGAATAGAAATTTCATTAGCATCTGATTTGTAAGAACAAAGTCTTTCATCTATTTACATTCACCCAATTTTTGCTGCAATTGTAATACACTGCCAATCATCACTTATGTTTTTTCATAACTGTGAGCAAAAAGAACTATGCCATACAGCACATTCAGAATCTATAATATTATGGCCCTGACTGTACATTTTTCAATAATCGCGTGATTGAATATTGCAGACGCGACTATGATGGATATTCGAAATGTTTTGTACGTTACTCATATCTAATAAACCTCTACCATAAGATATAAAATGCCTTCATTGGTATAATCTCTAGAACACCGTCACATTCTACCACATTCTACCACCCTCCACAGCCCTACCAAATAAATCGAAGGCATCAGCAAAATCAAAAATAGGCGAGTTAAAACAGGCCCAATATTTGATATTTCAATTCCCTCTAACTCCATCGAAAAAGGTAGTATTCGAGATTTAATAGATCCACTATCATTATATTAATTGTTTCCATATTATGGTTTTTTATTATGGTTTTTTTAAGAAGAAAATCCCCTATTATCTACTAAAATAGTCGCCTATCCAAAGTCATGCCATTCCAGTAACAATTTTTCGTGCCGTTCTTGGATTTCTTCGAAATATCCGATCTCTTGACATGCGAGCTCTTGTAGTCCTTCGGGAAGCCATCGTTTTCTGCACACAATTAGCATATTTTTCAGTGGCACATCCTAGAGTGGATATGGCTGACTTTCGCAGGGACACACCTTTAGTTATGATCAACATTCATCGGCTCTTCCATAAGTGCCACTGACATTTGTACCATCGAGGTGTTTCGATGATTCGGCTTGAAATATACTTAGTCCTTAAATCTGTTGTATTGAAATAGTTGAAAGATTTGGGGAAATGCCGTTCCTTATCATTAATTTCATGTGGATCCACATTCCCATAAGCGTTCTGATGTTCCACGCTGCAAATAGGAGTGCGAATAAAGTCGACCGATAGTTATTCACATAAACCTAGAAATTATTCACCATAGTTAAACGCAAGAAGCGTCACTCAGGGGATATAAGTACATGTGGGTGCATAGCCGCGAGATTTTCAGACTTTGCTAGGTTCATTTTCGTTAAAAGAAGAGATAAACAAATTTTATAAATAATTTGCTATTACTGTCATTGTTTTGAAAAAAAGAAGAGAAAAAAATAGCAAAACTAAGAACATTGTTTTGTGCAACAATGCAGTTCAAAATTATTTTAATTCAATTTGAAAAGTAAGAAAATTGATTTTCACATTGAATTTCCGACCTGCCAAAATATATTTATTATACGCAATGACCTATTCATTGTATACTTCACTCTTCAAGTTGCATCACAGGATCACCTCAGTCAAGTGACAATCTTAACTGTCAGTAGATCCAACCAAACCAGAAATAGTGCATGCCATTAGAAGAAGTAAAATAGTAAAAGAAGTAAAAGAAGTAAAAAGAAGTAAAAATTTCGCAGATGAAGAAATAATTTTCGCGATCCAATTTTCCTTCCAAAAGAACAATGAAAACATCGCTCTTAATGTCCAAATCCAAACGGAATATTTTCCACTTTTTCACAACTTTTTCCATGATTTTTTCAGGTTTATTTATTGTTTAAGGCAAATCACTAAATGCTCATAATTGCTTATAATCTCACATTTATAACTTATCGCAATCGAAAATGATATAATATTTGTTTTTAATGAACAAAATAATTAATTAAATAAACATTTATCGAAATGAACCAAATTAAACATTACTTGGAGAACACTTCAATAAAAACGTTCAAACAAAACAAAAAATAATGCAGACGCAATGAACATAGAAATGCAGAAAATAAATCCATATGTGAATCCATTGCTGATAGGCAATAATAACAACCAAAACTTTATAAATGAATCACAAAAAAGGCTAACTTTCCTAAAATTAATATCAAATCCTAATATTTTCAAATCCGAAAACTGATAAGTTCTGAAAACTTGAATTTAAATTATTGAAAACGGCTTTCCTTTTACTTATCAGCAAAAAACAGGACATGAGAAAAAAGCCAATGGAACGAAAAAAACGAATTTTGAAGTCTTCATACTGAAAAGAAAAGAAAAAAATTGAGAAAAAACGTCCCTGAAAATGCCTATAAAAAATCAACAAATTTTCGATGGACCAATTGATGCAGCCACCTGAGACAACAAATTAGTAATTATATATAAATCCATGCCTATTCATAGGCATGTGTAAACGCAAAAATCCCAAGGCAAGAATCATTTATATGAAAAATAAAGATTAAGGAGGTAGGGTAGATATTAAAATCGATATTGTTTTAATATATATATATATATATTGATAATGACGGTGATAGAATAAGTTTAGCCTTGAGACTTACAAATTTATTTAAATAGAAAACTAAAAAAATTGAAAAATGATAAGAATGCTAAAAACGACCATAATGAAGGAGATTCAAAATTATTAGTTTAAAGCGATCACCTAATTTCGCAGCACAAACACAAATTTATTCAGTCTGTGTTAAACAACAAACTAAAACACCAAAACCCTATTATGGTACGTGGCAATTTATCCAGTTTATTTCTATCATGAGGGAAAGAAACTAATGGAAAATTCGAAAAAGGGGAAGAAAATCGTTCAATACCAGTTTACGATTAAATAATCCAGAAAAAGTTCAAAATGAAAGTGGAAATTATATGAAAAAAATGGCAAGATATCTAGCGAAATATAAACAAAAATATTAACAAATATTTATCCTTGAAAAATAAGAGGTGAGAAAAGAAGATCAAGAAAAATGAGGAATTTTCTATGTTTTTCAAAAATATTTATATTATTATCATACATAAAAAATTACAATCACAAGTCAGAAAGATTTTGACAATTATTTTCAAACTATAATGGAATGATATTATTGTTGTTATCACTGCTATTTTTATTGTTAATATCATTATTATCACTAGAATCATCATTATTGTTAAGAATAGAAGGCGATTTCGCAATAATTGTAAGATTTAATTTAGTTCCTTCGGATGATAATCGAAGAACTGGAATTTGTAAAATAAGATCAGCTGGAATGATACCATCTTCTCTGGCTCCAACTTCGAACTGCTGTTGATATGGACATTGCAAATCGTTTCTAATAAATCCATGACCACGTGTAATATCCGGTGATGTTGAGGCACTCTACGAATCATAACTTGTAAAGACAAGACTAGATTTGTTAATAAAATGTTAATTGACCTTTTGTTCTGCAGTTGGAATACGTACACCATTCACAATTTAAACGGGCAATTATTATTTTTTTGCTCTTTATAATATTTTGACAAATTTCACGAGCAAATACTGATAACTAAGCAAATTAACAGGAATGAAAAATAAAATGCTAATCGAAAAATACTGTGTAGCTGCTATGATCCAATGCAACGGTATCTTTGTGCTTGAAATTGGTTTTCAGCTTCAAAGTTTTTTCAATATCATTTTGCCCGGCAATAATTACGGCCATACTATCCTTTTCGCTATGAGCTTCAATTTTCCCTATATCTTCTGAAAATTTCATTATTAAAATCTTCATGATAGGTAGATAAAATGCTAAAGACGGAAAACAACAAAATTTAAGCATTATCATAATAAAAGATGAAGGAACAACCAAAATTTACCAAAAATACTCAAAATGTTTTCTTCCAAATTATTCCAAAAATATCCAAAACATTTATCAACAGAATTCTCTCCAAAAAAATATTTTTATGTAAACTTCTACAAAACTACGTAAATTTACATTATTAATTTATATTAACCTTGAGTAGAAAATGAAACGGATTCATTAGGTAACAGCTCTTCATGGCGTTGCCGAGCATTTGCAATCTGTTCATTGTCTTCCTTTCCACTATCATGCTTACGTTTACGCTATAAACAAATTATAATATGTTAAAGGCTAAAATAATAAATAAAAAATTTAAATGTTATTCTAATGAGAAACTTCTAATTTGTTATTTCTTTCACATGATTATACTTAATTATAAGAATCATAAGAATATTCCTTAAGAAAATCCACTCCATCAGTTTTTTTGTCCTAAAGAAATGAGTTAAATCTAAATGCTTTGAAATGCAAAAATCAACTCTATTCGCTTCAATCATTTGTCGAGCAACTGCAGTCGTCGCTGCCATAACTTCATCCATCTCTTCATAATCACTGGAACAAGTTGCTTCAAATGCTTCATTACTCAATGGAACTGTCTCGATAACCGACTGTTTTAAGCTATCTATACGGGCATCGAGTGGTGCCAATTCTTCATTGCCTGTAACCAAACAAGATAAATCTTGAAGAGGATTTGTATCAAGAATTTAATTCCATTCTTTCTTAAATAAATGGTTCTTTCGAAAAAGAAGGAGGAGGGATTATTATCTCCCAATATTTTATAAGGGTATGTGAATCATGAATATATTTTCGTATATGAATATATTTAGCAAATAAAAAATTTTATATAAAAACCATTTATGTTCAATAATCGATCAGAATTATGCAAGAACGAAGCATTCAATGGATTCTGAATAGAATCATAACTCTGCTTTTCGTTCAACCTATTTGTTTCTGCTTGCTGCCGCATCAGTAATTGCTCAAGTTCACTTTGTTGCAATAAGCCGTGCTCAAGGTGGATCGAAGAAGAGTTACTAGAGTTATCATGACAACTTCTCAATGTTTCACTTCCATTAGCTTCCTTAAAATAATATTAAAATAAGCGTATCACCACTACTGGCTGCTTCACTGAATCTGATATTATTTCAGAACTTCAGAACTTCAGAATTTGAAATAATACAATAAGACAAGTATTTTTTACCAAAAATTAACTTATTTTATTTCTTTTTATCCATTAATCAATGAAAATTTTCGAAAATTTAAAAAAGAAATAGAGAGAAAATTTTCACTTTATTAAACCTAAAGAAAAATTGTTTCACCCATTTCAGCCAACTATCAAAAAGCAAAAGAATACCATCATTTCTTGTAAGGCTTTTATAGTTTCTCTCTCTTGTAGCGATTGTTGTGATGCTCGGCTTGCGATCTGTTGTATATGGCTGAACCTTTAATTAAATTTTTCTACATGTATTTTTCATTTCAAATCATTCTTACAATAATTTACATCACAATTATTTGATGAGAAAAGCAACGTGAGATTCATCCAAGTCTTTTAAGAAACGAATCCAATTTTTACTAGAGCTTACATTTCACTAAAATTTATATTCTGATTAGTGGATAATTGTTGGCTGAAACCAGCACTAGCTGAAGGACCTTCATTTGCGGAAAAATCCTTAAAAGTTTGACTTTCTTTTTCTTGATTTGAGCATGACGATGCATTGACAGTTATACCATGAGTATCTCTTTTATGATCTTGAAGTAAACTTCGATTCATAACCGTTACGCCACATTTATTGCACCTAAAGTAAATTATGGGGGGAAAAAATCCAATAAAATCATGAAAATAATATTGAAAAATAGAAATCAGATTAACCTGAACTGAAGCTTCCCTTCGGCTTCTTTGGCAAGAACTTCCGGATCATCACGATATTTCATCTCATCGATAACAATGGCATGCATCTTGAGCATATGAGTCCGAAGAAAATATTTGTTGCAAACCATTTTTTTGCAAATTTCACAAAAACATCCTTCATTTGGCAGATTTTTACGTTTAACGGATTTCGCCTGAAGTTTCTTCACCTTTTAAAAAAATATAAATTTCGAAAGTGTTTGTAGTATTTATTCAGAAGGTCTGTGATTTCCTAATAATATTAAAATAACTAAAATAAGGAAAAATATGGTAAAATGGGAAAAAAATTATACCTCCTTATTATTCAAGTAATCACTTTCGACACTTTCTGGCGGAAAAATACTCTGAGGTAAACCGAATGTTTTTACCAGACTGCTATTACTCAACATGACATTTAATGGATTGATGCTAGCTAATAAATTTTGATGATGATTTTCCACATGCTGAGTTAAATAACTAGATGTTGTGAATTTTTTTGGACAAAAAAAACATCTATGAGCAGATGGACTCGCATCTTCGTCATCATCATCATCTTCTTCTTCATCTTCAACAGTTTTTTTAGAAAACAACCTGAAATATGGATCATAATGTTCAATATAAAAAGTGAATTGTGCTTCTAAATTCAACATGGCATCACGGCTCCCTACACTGGGAAATAAATCCTAAAAGATGACGAAATATTGGGTCAACCTATAGTTCTATCCTAAAATAACTCTTTGCTTGTTTGAAGTGTTCCAGTAGTCAGCTTTAAGCATAACCAAACCCGATGTGGTGGTATCTACTCTTGCTTCCATCACCATTTCCACTGTTTATGAGGTTCTGTTTCGGCATTTTGGATATAGAAATGCATAGTAGAATAAAATAGGTCTTTCTCATTTTTATTCGACATATATTCCTTTCAAGAGGCAGGATCAAAAGGACCGCTATTAGAAGACGAAAAATATAGAACTGGATTGGCTGGGTGGTTGTTGCTTTATCGTTTCAACGTTTTGATCCCGCCTCTTGAAAGGAATATATGTCGAAAATCTGGAAGGAATAGGAAACAAACTAAATGCAGAAGCAATATTTGGAAAAAGGTAGAGGCGACGAAAATTAAATAGAAGACGAAAAATATAAAAAAATATATAATACGCTAATTTTTTACAAAAAATTATAAAACAAACATACGCATTGCCAACTTGTCGCTGTAATGAAATAGGTCCATTTGTTTCGCTTATAGCATCAACATTAGGTACACTGACAACAGAATTCGTCGGTTCATTTAAATTTTGTGAGCTACAAATGAGATAGAAATTTTAGATAACTTATTAAGTAATTAATTGATTAACTAAAAAATAATCATTTTATTCGGCATTTCATGTTAGTTGCTGTAATTTCAATTCTCATTTGGTATAAAGAAAAGTCAGTTCAATCCGTCAAAACTGCTTTTACTTTACTTATTTTTAATTTAGAGATTCCTTTATTAATTCAAAATAATTTATGAAAAATTGCTTTTAAAACTAAAAGAAACTAAAATATTACTTGGATAATGATTTTACTGGTTCAGAATTCCAGCTCTGATCATCTTTTTGTCCACAACTGCCATCTTGCAACCTTGGTATGCTCTCATTATCTGTGTTATTTACAATAACAGACCTTGACGCGGAGGCCGATGGATCAGTTTCTAATCTCGAAGTTAGTGACAATGATGAATTATTAGACATTTGACTGGTCGCCACATTTGGTGAAATTAATGAGCCATATAATGCTTGTGGATCACAAGCAGCCATTGCAGCAGCCAACAAGTTTTCATTCATGTTCAAATAAGGATTAGAGTTTGGCGTTTGAATTGATCCAAAATGCTCTAGAATAAAAGATAACTATGAATTTAATACTAATCATAGTAATCAAATGGGCAAAAAACCCTAAATAAAAGATATTTAATCATTAAATGGTTAACGCTCATCAACTTCTGTTCAGGCTAGCTAAATGAGCTTTTCGTAATTTTTGGCAATGAGTCTTTTAGTGATAGTAGGAGTGAGTCGCCAGCACCATTGGGAATTAAAAAAACAGTTGACAATTAGAAACAAAACTGTAACTTAAAAACTTACGAGGACTGCTTGAAGAGCTAGGCAGAGATTCTTGAGCAAATTTCACCAAACAATTCATCTGAGCTGGGTCATCAATGTTATGCTTATTTTTGAGATGACTCTTTAGGAAGTATGCATTACAGACAGTTTTTTTACAAATCGGACAATAAGCCGTCGGCAAATTTTTACTCGTATTTTGCTTAAATATTAAAAAAAATACTGGGATAAAATGTACTATAGCATTACAAATTCAGAAATTATTTTCGGAAAAAATTTCAAATCCATTTCAATTCATTAATTACTGCAGTCCACAAAATAGATTTGACTAACTTTGATTTTATCATTAGCACTATTAGGCCTTCTAAGCTTTACCACAGGATTTGATCCATTAAAAGCAGCAGCACTGAATGGTAAAAACTGTTGAAAAGATTGCAACTGAGCCAATTGAAGTTGATTTAAAAGTGCAGCACTATAATGGAAAAATTAATCAAGAATATCAATTAAAAAAAAATTAAAAATATCTAAAAGAACCCAACTGTTAAGAAAAAACATTTGTGGAAAACAATTCATTTAATCCACAGAATCACGGATATCGAGAAAAATACTAATTTTCAGCAAAAGATACTGTTCGAAAGACGGTTGGAAATTTGCAAGAAATGACATAAGATTCGAATCATTTAATTCATCAGGAGAAAATAAATTATTCCGTGGCAAATTCATAGTTGAATCCGATACATCCGGCATCCTTTCTGAATCGCTTGTACCAGCAATTTCCTCTTGAAGATCCCGTTCAATTCCCATACAATTCTTGCTGCTACAATTTTTGAATTGAAACTAATGTAAATTACCAGGAGGCATTCATTATTTCTGGTAAGGCTCACTGCACTAGCACAATTAGAAATTTTTGGCAAAGATTCATTTCGGGACAACGAAATACAGGCAAAACACTAGCGTCATTCAGACTTTTTTAATGACAGAGCTCTTTTTCAAGGAAGGAGCTCTTCCTTCTAAAACTAAAACATTCGTTGAAGAAATTACGTTGAAAATAATTTATCTATAAAAGCAAATATAATATTCGAGTGTATGGCAAAATAAACCAAAATAAAAAAGGAGAAAATCTTACTTAACAGAGCTTAACACTGAATCACTATCAATATTTTCTGCATGGATCACTGTAGCCGTCATCGTTGTCGTTGTCGTTGCCAAATCACTTGTTGGGATTCCAATTCGTTCTGCTGCTTGACTGAAATAATCCATCTTTTTGTTAATTTTAAAATCAATTCCATCGTTTAAAAATATACAAAATATCTAAAAATATCTAATAAATAAAGCAAAATAAATATCTAATACAAAAATATTTAAAAAATTTTTTTGAATTAAATTGTAATCATCATCCACCTTTTTCTACATTTATTTGCCAAGTTCCATATAGAATTTTTCGTTATTTGTCATTCATATTTCTTAACAATTACCTAATTCAATTATCCACCTCCACAAGAAATAATGAATGCCTCCTGCTAACTTATATAACTTATATTTCAATCTACTCCCAAAGTGATTGACTGGCAAGTGGACTCTTTAGCGAAGACATCTTATTGTAGTGGTCAGCGTTAGTTAAATTACCAGAAAATAAAATAAAATGAAATTTAAAAGGTTCTAACCCATTGCTTGATCTTGCTTGAGCTTGAGTTTCATCATTTTGGCTTTCGTTTGCGGAAAAATGGTTTGAAGGTTGTGGATCTATAAGGTCATGAACTGGATTTGCTTTATTTATGTTTTCGCTTACGGATGAAATATTTGTCATATTATTTGTTGCCGCCAATCGTGTTTCATAGAAATTTTTTATCGTAACCTGAAAATTTTATGAAGATAAAGTTTTTTATTTTTCGCATATTATCTCGTTCATTAATTACTTTTTGCTGTAAAATTTAATTTTTTTTGAGAAAAATGCAATTTTTGCTGAGAAATTCATATGAAATAAACTTCAATTCTTATTTTCAAGGCTTTAAAATATTCGAAAATAATTAGTGCCGAAAGAGTAAGATTTACTTAGCTTTCATACTTTATTTAATTTATATAATTACCACTTATCTTTACCTATATTTCCATATCTTTTGTAAAGGAAACTATAAGTAATATCACTAAATTTTAGTCATCCAAATTAATAAAAACAAATCAATTAATTCTTGCGTAATTTTTCGATAATAGTATATGCAATTAAATTGCCTTAATAATGGCATACATTTTGCCAAAATCCCCCGATAAATTCGACAACAAGGTAATTTCATCGTCTTTTTTTGATTGCAGCTGGTTTAACAGCTGAAGTGAATGAATAATATTTAATTCCAAACATTCAATTTTTTAATAATTTTGCTTATTCAATATAGGGCTTTTACTGCTTTTTACACCAAAAAAAAACATTATTTAGTATTACTTAAAAGAAAAAAGTTGTATATTTTAGAAAATAACCAGAAAATCTGAATAAAAATTATATATTTTACATAACAATTCTATGTTGAGTTGTTCTAAAAATTTCCATGCAAATTTCTCTTATGGCCTTATGCATGTTCATATGGTACTAATGGCCCAACTGTGCTATAGATAGGTTACTCCTAGAAAAAATTCTAACAGTACTAATGATCACCTCTATTTAGTAAAAACAATAAGCGCTAACCACTATAATTACTATTCTATTATTCAAATTCAGTTCACATGCCATATAGGGTTTTTCTTCTAGAAAAATATATGCTTTTTTTTATAGTGCATTATAGTAACTTCAGTGTTTTTTGATATGGAAAAATATGGCAAATTTGACATCTGGCACATTATGTGGCACCAGACGACAAAGGACTTTCGAAATATGTTATAACCGAAGCAAAAAAAAATGTAAAAATAGCTCGCGAAATTCAAATGGATCTTGAAACTTAAAAATATTAAAAATCAAGTAACACGGTTCTTGGACAAGAGCAAATCTTCCAGCAAAAGAATCCGGATTATTTGCTGAGGACTTACCTGGACTCCCACTCCCAGTGATTCTCTGATCAAAATCTTCCATCACTAATGGCAATAAATAATACAATAATAGTACTAAATAAAAGATTTCTGGCGAGAAATTTGTTAATTTATCGAATTATTTATTATCGTACCGGATCTATACAGTACATCATCAATTCTTGTAAATCAGTAGATGTTGGCTGGTTTGCTGTTCGTTGATCAACATTTGGTGAAAATAATTGCGGTGAGATTCCAGTAAAAAATTGCATTTCTGGATTAATCATTTGACCATTCATTACAAAATCTGTGCCGATCATAGGAGAGCCTGATAATTTTCATGCAAATTTACGCAAGAGAAATACCAAAAAAAAAGAAATTGCTTTCATTGCCTATTTGTAAATTGAAACTGAATCGGCATATATTGCATTAAACCAGCATTCAAAGAATATTTCCATGCAAGTAACAATTTCTTCATTAATAATATGTAAATATGCTTCCCCATATGACATCATTTAGTAAATCTTTTTTTCATGGATTTCTATTATTTATGGATTCGCTGAAGAAAAATGAAACCTTGTCGAAACGCAGTTTCCGCTTTTGAACTCATAAATGCACTGAACGCGCTTAAATTTAATTCATGTTTTGCTTTTCGATGTGTTTGCAAATAATATTTATTGCAAAATTCTTTCTGAAATAACAAATTTAAAAATATAAAAAAAGCGATGGAAATTAAAAAGAGAAGATATCCAAGAAGATTATATCCATGGCAAATTTTAATCGCGCTTATCGTATATTTAAATAAATCTTTGAATTTTAATCGGAGGTGAAAATAATATAAAATGCATAAAGCAAATATGTGAATTTACAAAAGAGAACAAAAAAGCTATGAAAAATGTGGGAAAAAACAATCTATAAAAATATAATAAATAGAACAATGAAAGTTTGAAAAATTAGCAACAAAAACAGATAAAAAATTAATATTAATAAACGGTGAAAAAACAAAAACAAAACAAAAAAACAAAAAATTTAGGGAAAACTATAGGAAATTTAAAAAATGCCCGTTTATAAATTTCTCGCTCAATTCACTTATATTTAAAAAAATTTTATATTCTTTCTCGAGTACTTAAACAAAAGCTTAAGATGAAAGTCAAAAGAACAAAAAAAAATCAACTTTAAGGAGCTTTATCCAACGACTCCTTTGAAATGATAAACACAGGCTGGAATCAGAATTCTCCTCCTTCGATTTTTTTAAGAGTTCTTATCATTACTAGTTAAACTCGCTCCATTAGCTTATTGCATTAGGCAACATGCCAGGGAATCCCTTGGCGATAGAAAATCAGGCGAATCGTCAACATCACCCGGATTTTTGTATAATGGGTGCTCCCAATTGAGCTACAACTCACTGAGCCATTCTATCCCTAACACCATATGAATATATAAATTTATAATTAAATTTATAATATTACGTATTTGTATATTTGTATTAATTTAAAACGAATGCTTCGCTTAAATTTGTCAGTTGTCGTCACTCTTAATTTTTTAAAAATGCATTAAATGAAAAGAAAAAATTTCAAAATCCGAAAACTATAAATCATTAATGAAGTTGTTCAGCTGATTGGAATATGCAAAGGCTGTGGTTTTATGAAATTCCTACCCTTATTCGCTATTAAAATTGCATTACTAATGCTTTGGTGCGTTCCAATCACTACTGCTTTTGCATAAGAGAGCGAAATCATTGGATTTTCATTTCGATATGATGACAAATATTAACGTCTTGCCAGGGCAGAGATATAATACCTAGAAGAGATATAATACCTAGAATTTAATCGGAGCAGTCGTGCCATAAGACTCTCCACAATCTCTTCCACCACTTTCTTCATCTTCTAATTGTTTGTGATATTAAATTGTTAATAATTTATTAATAATTAATGTATTAAATGATATTCAGCGAAACTTTAACAAAAATATTTATATAAAGAAATTATTTATTTGAAAAGTTTGTCTTTCGTTCGATGTGATTTCATAACAATTATTGTTTTTTAAATAAATTTTTATTATAATTCATCGAAAAACATTAGATATGAAATTATATTAGTTCGACAAACTTGGCTAAACCAACCAGCCAAACAGCCAATCAGCTAAACTCTAAGAGTAAACCAAAAAATTTTTCAAATTTTCGAGCAACAAAAGTGTATGAATAATTGTTTATAAATGCAAATGTTATCATTTTCGCATTCTCTCTATTCTTCAATAAAATTATAAATAAGAACTGTTTTGATTAAAATTTTAATTTGAAATTATTTAAATTTATCATTAAATAAAAAATAAATTTTTAAAAAATAAACTGAAGGTAATAATTAAAAGAAATTAACAATAATAATGAAATAATTAATAATGGTAATAGTAATAATAAAGAAAGTAAAAATGTAAAGTAAAAAAATGATAACAAAAACAATTGTTAATTAATTATTAAAAGATTAAAAAAATTCATTTTGTCTTCAATTTTAATATAATTTATTAAATTCCCAAGAAAAAAAATATTATTTGACCAATATTCCTATTTTGAAAATAACAAATTTTGTTTAAAAATTAAAAAATAGAAAATGAAATATAAGCAATATACCGCATGCATTAAATGCAAAAAAAATGTAATATAAGCAAGAAATTATTTTAAATGGAAAATAAAGTATGAAAAAAATAGCTTAAAAAAAAGTATGATTATCACAAACCTGACAAATATCGCAATATGCTTCAATATTAAATACCTTTGGTGAACGCTGCAAACAGAAATTAACCGTTTCCTGTAATGCCTGAAAAATTATATGGAATCAATTTTCGATTTCCAAACAATTTCTACTTTAAATATGACAGAAAGCTCATGGAATTAATAAAATTATTAATTTAAAAATTAATAAAATTATTAAGCTATTAATAATGACAATAATCATATGATTATCATTTTTATCACTATTACTGGTGTAAAAAAAGTACGCAGAACTGACTGGATTTTATATATATCATTATCACCATAAATGATCATAAAAGGAGGCTCTTATTGTGCATTGTGAAAAGTTCTAAGAACGCTGAAAAAGTTAGGGGTTTCTACGATTTTGGCCTAGGAGCCTGGAAAACTTTGTTCAGAAAAATAGTGAAAAATTTAGGGATTTTCACGATTCGGTTAATAAAATAACTGAAAAAGAAGGGCATAAATCAAGCAATTTCGTGGGAAAATGAAACAGATGATTATGAAATCTTATTAAAAGGTTATTCAAAAAATGCTGCAAATATTATAGTATTCGATAAACTACTTATTGACTGGAAAAGAATGAAAAGCTGACAAAAAAGGACGCGGTGAACTCTGACCTCACGCAAAATAATCGAGTACTTAAATTTCAAAATAACATTAAACGGAAAATATATCAACAAGCCAATCACATTTTTTAAAATATTTACGATTTTGATAATGAATTCACACATTCACAGCAAAAATTTGCAAAAAATTTCATAGAAAATATCTATTAATGAACTTTTTTCAATAAAATTTAAATTAAAAATTTAAACTCAAGGTAAAATTTAAAATAATTAAATAATTTAAATTCAAAGCGAATAGAGAAATTAAGAAAATTTCACCGATTTTAAATTTTTGTAGGAAGAAATCCTTACGGAAATTCAGAAAGAAATGAGAAAAATAAGGGGGCAACAATCTCACTCGCTTCGTCGTCGTTGTCGCCGTCAGCATTTTTCTTTCAACAAGAGCAAAAAAATGATAAGATGATTTAAAAGAAAATGGCAAAATATAACATTTAACAAAAATATAACATTTTACGCAAAAACGTGAAGTCCAGATTATTTAAGATTTTCCTAAGCCAAAATTAATAAGCGTGATGGCCAAACTACTTGTTTCCGCTAAAAGTAGACCATCAGAGGTTAGATCATCGAAGTGAAGGCGAAACCCATCAGTACTTCTACAATCCCAAGCAAATCTCTGCAGAATAATTCTCCCGAATTTTATTGAGAAAGAACCATACTATTTCATACGGTAAACTGAAGACTTGACCAAATAACCAAAGCTTAATGCATGAAAATATATAAATTATATGGATTAAAACGGTTTTTTATGAAAGATATTTATAAATTTATGAAAGATATAATTTATCATGTAAATTTCTATTAAATTTCTAGAAATAACTGAAAAATCTTAGAAATTTTTTAAAAATTTACTGTTTTCTTGCTGGAATATTTAAGAAAAACGAAAAACGAAAAATCCATTTTTCCATGTTTTCATTTTTTTGCCATTCAATAAAGCTTTAATAACCGATAACCGAATAACCGAAAAATTTTAAAATAATTCGCAAAAACCGATTTTGAAATAGTTCTTCGCACAAAAATTTGTTTAAATTTTATATTTGACATATAATTTATCAATTTTTGTTGTCATTTTCTATTGCTTTCGTTTTTTCTATTTCACATGAAAAATATTTCAATGTTATTAGACGGAAAAAGAAAATATTAAAGTTAAAAATAGATCTCTCTTCAAAATTCAGTAGTTTCACATGAAATCTGGAGGACAACATAGACGAGTGGTTGCTGCTTAGATAATTTCCAATTTTGAGATTTAAAAGCTATTTACCTCATTAGCAAAAATAATATAATTAAAATTTCCAAATGGTGCTGGCAACCCATCCATATTCTTATTACCAAGTAACTACTACTTGGCGAAAATTTCATAATTAGCAATCAGTGGAGAAACCCTAATCAGAAACGATTACTCATCTACTTATTTAGGTTAAAATGATATGTGACAATTATTAATGAGACTATTAAAAATTGCATTAAAAAAGCTTAAATGTCAAAGATCAAATTATAAGGAACTAAAATGTTTTTTCATTTTCTTGTTCGTACTAAAGTAGAAAGCAATAAGAGCAAAAAGAAGGCAATAAAATCAAAATTCCTTTCTAAAATTAACTTTTTGTTCAATAATATTCAAAAACTTCAACGTAAAAAATAGTTTAAAAGCACGGATTCGCAAAAAAAGAATTTTTTAAAAAATCTACAATTTTTTTATAAATTTCAATAATTTGATGTTTGTTTATGAATAAATTACAAAATCCTAGAAAATAAATTGCCATGATTAATAAAAAAAAATAGAAACAATAGAAATTATTCTTTAAATCTGTTCTTTAAAAAGCAAAAAATATTAAAATAATAAATAACAAAAACTCCCGGAAAAAATAAAATTTACGATGCGATGAATTTTTCGTGAAGATAGAGTAAAGCAAGAGAAAAATATTTTTAACGCCCATAATTTCTGCTTAGATTAGTTCCGTTCTGTTAGCTGTTCTGTTAGAAAATTTTTGCCAGTGGGTACCCTAAAAACTATAGAAGTACAAGTGGGCTACTATATTTTTTAAAGCTTACTCCTGCTAAATATTTGGCACTGAATCGGACACTTCGCATTTTATCGCGATAATCTAAACCCATTCATCCACACAGCTCCCTCTCTTCTTCCCTTATTTAAATTAAAAAAAATTAAAACAAATACTGAATTGTCAAACAAATATTAAATGAAATATTTTATTTTAAAATTTAAAATCAATAATAGAAAAGAAAAAATCTAAAAAAATTGCGTTGAGGAAAAATGAAATAATCTCAAGGGCAAAAGAGAGTTAATAAAGCACAAAATATGATCGTGAGAATGATTAGAAATGAATGAAAAAAGTTGGAGTAAATCACGAGGAAATATTTTTAAAGGTTAAGGCAAAAAACAATTTAAGAAAAAAATAAACTGCAAGAAAGTAAATGCAAAAATTTAAAAATTTTAAAGAGATTTCTGGTCACAATGGCTCCATAGGTTATTATTATTATTACTAGGATGGGCCAGTTCTTGTAGGGAATCAATTACCAAATGAACCATCCGCTCATTAATTATATTTTAGGAAAAAATCATTTTCAATTATTTAATATTTTATTACCCTATTATCATTTGATAAGAGCCAATCATTTGTCTTCTTATAAAAAGAAAGAAATGATAAAATCATAAAAGTCATAAAGCTTAAGATAATCCTGGAAAATATTAAAATTTTTGACAAACTATCATTTGAATATCACACTTATTGTGCCAGTAATCCTAATTTGGCTTGATATCTCGGGACCCCATGAACTAACACAAGAAGGTTGAATAATATACGAAAGATATTCTTTCGTCAGAGAAGCTTGTAGACAAAAGCAAAGATGCATCACAAGGACTTCATCTGTAATTTAAACATTATTGCCAATATATCAGTATGGAACTGATGATGCATAAAATAACATTCAACCATCCAAGATTAATTGATTTCAAATAATAATAAGCGGTCGCAGAAGTTGATAAGTAAGGATTATAAAATATTAAATAGCTGAAAATGATGTTTTCCTAAAATAAATTCACAAAAACGAGTAAAAAAAAAGGAAATTTGAGTCAAACTATTCAAACAAAAATTCGAAAATTTGGATCGAAATGAAAAATAACGAAAATTCATAATATTAAATATATTATTCAAATTAAATGTTTAAGAATTAACATAAAGAAGATTCTAAATTTAAATTTTCCCAACATTTTAATTATTTTGATTATCGGCATTTTATAAATTATAAATTAATTTATAATTTATTTATAAATTATTAAATCAGTATTTAATAAATTTTAAATATTAAATCATTTTATTTAGTACAAAAATTGAAAAAAATTTTACATCAATTAAAATTCTCAAAAATTTGAAACAAAAATTTAATTCCCCCAAGAAATTCTTTTTCTAAAATATTTCCAAAAAATCAAAAATTCTCGATATATTTAAAATTCATCATTCTATTTATTAATCCTTCTCTCCATCCATCTTACTGAGAACTTTCAGATAATTTAGCTACTTTAGTTTAGATACAGTTTCAAAAAAACGGAAAGGCATTTGAATCAAATCTGACGTTGAAATTTACCCATAAAAGGTATACTTTAAGCATAAAAATTATCAAATGATGTATTTCATTTCACAGTGTTTTAGCCAAAATCAAGCTTTACATCTGCCCATATAAGAGTAGCTTATATAAGCAGGCATGAAATGCTATGCACTTTTCTTTTTGAATTGAAATGAACCTTCATTTAATTAACAAACTCGTTGCATCCATTAAGATTATCTGTTATCATAAAATCATCTAATTGTAAAAGAATATTGTTAAGGAATTCTAAATTTTTTAACAGCTCATATTGCCACTCTCTGTCGCTTTTCACATATAAACAAATGACCTATAATTTGATATATATATATATTTTTTTAGTTCAACTTTAAACCATTATTTGAAAAAAAACATTCCTCGTTTTACGAAATAAAACTAATAAATATTACAAAAATAAATCTTATTTTAGTGATAATAAAAATTTAAATTTCAAAGTTTCTTTAAAAATGAAAAATATTTTAGAAAAAAAATTGAAGAGAATCGATAACGAAAAATTACAATCTTTAAATATTTTTCTTGTGTAAACATTCGCTTTTTTCTCGCCATTCATAGCGGAATTCATTACAATCAATTTTGATATAAATTTTGGCGTTCAATCTAATTTTAAAAATATTTCCCAACACAAATCATTGATTTATCCTAAAACCTTATCATTTTTCACTCATGTCCATCCATGTTATCTCTTTTCACATTTATTATATCCTTATCATTTTTATATTCAATTATAATTCACCTTTAATAAATAATTTTTTTATGAAGAACAAACAGAACAGATTTTATTGAGTTGAATATAACTAATAATGATATACATATAAATAAAATTTTTAGAAAAAACGCAACAATAAATTCCAGTTATTTTAAAGAAAAATGAAAAATGGGACAGAAAATCAAACGACCTTTCAAAAAATTATATCAAGTTTTCACAGAAAAAAAAGAAAAAAGAGTTTCTTAAAACTAAACTTGTTAAGAAATATGAAGAAAATTTGCAAATTTTTACCCAAGAATTTGTTCTAAATTTATGAGAAAATTAAATCTTCTTTCCTTTAAAATAAA